TTTGGTTGCAATTTGGCCAGGGCTGGGTTTGAACACGCCACCCTCTGTATATGGGGCCGGTGCCCTACCCACTGAGCCACAGGTGCCACCCAATTTTTTCCTTTCTTAAAATGTATACATTTTTGGTACCCTATATGTGTCTCTGTGTAAAATACAAGATTTAAAAAATATATATATTAAAAACTTGTTTGTGATCTTGTGGTTGGGGTTGATTTTTTTTTTTTTGAGACAGTCTCACTTTCTGGCCCTAGTAGAATACCATGGCGTCATAGCCCACGGCAACCTCAAACTCTTGGGCTCAAACGATTCTCTTGCTTCAGCCTCCAGAGTAGTTGGGACTACAGGCGCCCGCCACAGTGCCCAGGTATTTTTAGAGATGGGGTCTTGCTCTTGTTTATGCTGGTCTCAAACGTCTGAGCCTGAGCGATCTACCCACCTCAGGCTACCAGAGTGCCAGGATTACAGGCAAGAGCCACCGCACCCGGCCTTGGGGATGATTTTCTTTTCCAAAAGAGAAAAGTATAGGTATTTAGAGACTATACTGAGTCTCTGTGATGAGCAGGATTCACTGAATTATTTATATAATTAACTAAGTTAGTTTGTTTTTCCATTGTATTACCATAAGTTTATTGTAAGTAAAGTCATGTCAAGCTTCTGACTGAAAATCCAATATTCTAGAATAGCAAGGGATTTTATATTTTTATTCATGCAGAACTTTTCATCAGGGCAGATAAGAAAATGCTTTATTTATGCCTCTTCTGCATTTTAGGAATTTACCTTCAAGAAGAATTTACCCTGTTGTCATGAATAAGTGAAACTATTGCCTCAAAATGATACTTTTTAGCCATTAGAACCATTCCAACATTTAATGTCTTGAATAAATACATACTTTTTTTGTTTTGAAAGGATTTTTTTTTTTAGTAAATTTGAATGAAACAGCAGCACAGTAATACATACTTAAGTTGCTCAGTAAATTCTTGTTGAATTGAGTTGAAAAGGGTGAAAAATGGTAAAAGAAAATGAGTTATAAAAATTTGTATTTTACACAATATAAACTACACTATTTTCTAAAATTTAGAAAGGTTATCGTTGTAATAGTAACCCTTAAAAGTACATTTTCCCCATTAAGTTAATTAATGCTCTTTGATTTTAGGAATTGGAACGAGCGTGGAGAGAATATGATAAGTTAGAATATGATGTAGCTGTTACCAGGAACCAGATGCAAGAGCAGCTAGATCGCCTTGGTGAAGTTCAGGTACAAAAGTGTAATATTTTTTTACATTGTTTGAACAGGTTTTTACTTGATACCATATGACCCACCTTGTTAGATTGATGCTTACACTTAACAGTTTTTACATTACTGGCTGCCCGACACCATTGACAGAACTTTCAGTGATAGGAGTCTCACTGTCTTAGCATCCCATCCCCCCTTTATGAAGTTTTTTATCCTGCTGGGCATGTGCCGAGCTCCGGAGTATTCTGTGCACCTTGCTAGCAGGTGCTAGCTCTGTCTGCCGTTCCTATAAATGTGGCATCATAGTCTTTCACAACTTTACCACTGTTAACTTAGTATTGTACTGAATTCTGTGAACTTACCAAATAATGGATATTTCGTCCTTTTATAAAATTATTATAATCTGTTCTCTCTTTTATCAGACTGTATTGGCCTCTTGTTTTGACTGACATAGTATTAGAATAGGGGAAGAAATAGCCCCATTTAGTAAGAATTCGGTTTATAAGTGTGCAGAGATGAGATCAAGTTCCAGGAGTTACTTTACTTGTCTCTAAAGTAGAAATAATACTTATCTTAAAGTGGTAATCTAAGGAATAGAGAATATATGTTTGGTAAAAGAGTAAACGTTATTTCATGCTTATGACCCTATATAAATTTGATTATGTGCGTTGGAAACCCTGTGGACTCCACAGAAAAAACAAACCACAATTAAAAGGTTAGTAAGATGGATTCATGTGGCTTGGCACCTGTAGCTCAGTGGCTAGGGCACCAGCCACATACACCGGAGCTGGCGGGTTTGAATCCAGCCCAGGCCAGCTATAACAAAAAAATAGTTGGGCATTGTGGCGGGCGCCTGTAGTCCCAACTGCTAGGGAGGCTTGAGGCAAGAGAATTGCTTAAGCCCAAGATTTTGAGGTTGCTGTGAGCTCTGACACTATGGCACTCTACTGAGCACGACAAAGTAAGATTCTATCTCAAAAAAAAAAAAAAAATCAACTATCCTCTATTTGTGCTGTTGAGTATGATCCTGCCACGTGTAGCTTTGGGGGAGTGTGAAATGTGGCTATTGTGGCTGAGGAACTGAACCTTTTTTTTTTT